ATTCGTAAATATAATAATTTTGCGTCGATAATATTTCGTTATTAACATGAACGGATATTATTCCAATTTATCTATGAATGATAAAAAAATGGCATGCTTTTGACAATGATCTATTTTTTAAATATACGTACAATAAAGAAATTAAAATTATAAAAATTCAAAAAATTAATAAAAATATATTTCAATTATTATGTTTATTATTGTAATAAATTATTAATGTATATTAATGTATAAACTAACGATAAAAATCTAAAAATTGTTAAATTATTGATTATTATATTCAAAAAATTGATTTTAATGCGATCGGCGAACGACGTATATCTTTGCGTATAATTTCGCGCCGCGAGCGTTTATAAATACAAGGCAAGGAGACAGAGCGATTATTTCGTATCGAACGTTCGTAGCGAGCACATCGTTACTAAATTTTTGTAATAATATAATTTTCAATCATTTATTTTTATAAAATTTATTCCAAATTATTATTTAATATAATTTTATAATATATTATTTATTGATTTTATTTTTTAATAATTAATTATTTATTTATACATTAATTTATCGTTTTATTTCTTAGTTTATATTATTATTTTTATTTTATTTTTTTTATTATTTTCCTTTTTTTATAAATTTTTATTAATTATTAATTATTTGAATATTTATGTATCTAGTTATTTACTTACTAAAGATTTATTTATTTATTTTTTATTATTAATTACAATATAGCAAAAATATTAATTTATTTAAAATTTAAATTAGAATAAGATTTTATCTGTAACGGCGATAGAAGACGTAAGATTTTGCTTTTAATTTTTTCGTTATAATTTATTGTATGCAAGTTATTTGTATTCGATGCGAGTTATTTTTGGGCGTGATTTGCGTATGATCTGTGAATGATAAATTGCGATCATTGTAAAAAAAAATTATATTATAAAGATCTATTGTAACATCCCATATATAATTTCCATAATAAAAATAATTTTTACATTATTCTTGTTTTTGATTATTTATATTTAAATATCTTTTATGTTTGCAATATTTTTTTTTCATTTTTTTTTAAATAGAAAATATAAAAATTTTTTTAATAATCTGGAATATCGAAAATAAAAGAAAAAGATTCAAATAAACTTATAAAAAAAAAAAAGAGGAAAAGATGAAAAGATTCAAAAAAACAATTAAAGAAATTGTAAAAAAATTAAAAAAAAATTAAATAGAAATGAAGAAATAAAAAAAATATTAAAAATTACAAGAAAAACAAATATAGAGATAAAAAAGTTTCAAATGAAATAATTAAATTAATTATAAAGATACAAAAACTTACAAAAAAAAACGAAAGAAGTTAAAAAAAAATGAAGAATTGAGAATTAATAATATCTATAAAATTTAAGATATTTATTTATAGATAGAATAACGTAGAATAAGTATTGAGACGCCATCTCTTGATTATCAAAGTCATTTCCCTATGAAACTATCGTTCTCAAAATATTCAAAAGATGGCGCTAGTTCACAATTCCTATTGCACTTTGTCTTTAAAAAAATATCTTTGACAAGAGATTATATTGACAGTCAATTTTTACTTCATTCCTATTTATTTTATTTATTCTTATTCCAATTTCCTTTACTTCTTGTTGTTTTCATGTATATTTGTTCAATATATTTATACATTCAAGAGGCAACACCAAGATTCAATTAATTTTAAAAATTATATATTATTTATGTATATATATTTTATATATAATAAAAAAATATATATATAAATTATATATATATAATTATCAAATATAATAATCAAATGTTCCTCCTTTTTTTTATTATTCATCTCTTCACATTCTTATTTAAGTAATTTTTGAATTATAATTAATTTATTGCATTCTTTTTTAATTTCTATCATAATTATTAACGAAATACATTTTGCAGGTAAGTTAGAGAGCGACTAAGAAGTTTTCGAGATCAACGCCATCTCGCGTTTGGATCACCGAAGCTCCGACTTGTTAATAGCATAACATGATATGCAAGGAGGTATGCGAATTCACGTGACGTCACAGACAAGGAAAGCAACATTGTGCGAGAAGGACAGAGAGCATATCCCATCATTTCGGGGACGCTACATGGAAAATTCATTAATTACTCATTTTCTACGCAAAACTTCTGCACTTTTGAGATTGCATCTTGAAGCTAGAACTTCAAGCAACTTTCTCATATCGATTTTAATGCGAAATTCTATTCCATTAATTAATTATTAATGATTAACGCGTCATATTTCTAATACATCAGTGACGCCATATTGGAAATTCATTAATTGCGCGTTTTCTACGCATGATTTTCGCACTTTTAAGATTGCATCTTGAAGCTAGAATTCCAAGTAACTTTCTCATATCGATTTTAGTGCAAAATTCTTTCCCGTTAATTAATTATTAACGATTTTTGTTGAGAATGTATCAATCGCAACCTCCCAATTCGTAATTGAACAACATTAATCATTAATAATTAATTAATAGAATAGTATTTCGCACTAAAATCGATATGAGAAAGTTACTTGGAATTCTAGCTTCAAGATGCAATCTTAAAAGTGCGAAAATCATGCGTAGAAAACGCGCAATTAATGAATTTCCAATATGGCGTCACTGATGTATTAGAAATATGACGCGTTAATCGTTAATAATTAATTAATGGAATAGAATTTCGCATTAAAATCGATATGAGAAAGTTGCTTGAAGTTCTAGCTTCAAGATGCAATCTCAAAAGTGCAGAAGTTTTGCGTAAACAATGAGTAATTAATGAATTTTCCATGTAGCGTCCCCGAAGTGGTGGGAGATACTCTCTGTCCTTCTCGCACAATGTTGCTCTCCTTGTCTGTGACGTCACGTGAATTCGCATACCTCCTTGCATATCATGTTATGCTATTAACAAGTCGGAGCTTCGGTGATCCAAACGCGAGATGGCGCTGATCAAAATTTTTCAATCGTCACCTAACTTATCGGCAAAATTTACACATTAAAAGTTTATCAAAGAGAAAAATGCATATATAAATTAATTATAATTTAAAAACTATTTAAATGGAAATATAAAATATCATAAAGAGGAATATTAAGAAATATGAGAGAAATATGAACATTTAAAGGAATTTACACATAATTTTAATTATTTATATTACATTTTATGTATCGTAAGATTTTATATATTCTCATATATTTTTTTAACGTATATTTCTTTTTCGTTTCTTTCTATTAAAGAGAAAAAGTAAAGGGTAAATAGGATAAAAAGTATTAAATGTATTAAATTTCAAGAAAAATTTCGCGCATAATTAAAATGTTACATTCGATGGATTGAAAAGTTTGAAGAATTTAGAAATCACGTGAAATTCCTGAATTTCTAAAATTCTTCGAAATGACGTGAATTTCCTGAAATTTTCAAATTTTCAACGTTGGCAAATTTTATATATTTAACCTATATGTGAGCATATTCTTAGCGTTTCTACAAATACCTCTCGCATTTTTTTACGTCATATTAAGCGTTTTTTTATTTATATATATGTCACATTTTTACACAATGAATATACGTAATATAATCCGTATATAAACGTGTATATAAAAATATACACGAAAAATTCGCACGTAAAAAAAAAAACCGTTCAAATAGAGATCTCGTTTTTCGATTCTGTAATAGATTTATAAGAAAAAACACGTGGAAATATTTAAAAATTCTTACCGTGATTCGATTAATTCTCTCGTCGAGGACGTGTGGCTGCTCCAATACGATCTCGTACGAGAAAAGTCTGTCGTGCGCAGCTTTGAATTCCGTGCGCAGAGTGGTTAACTCGCGGTGGAGCGCAGTGGCCATTTGCGTTTCCTCCACTCTGCTTGTCAACGATTCCCACTTCTCTAATATGCCTAAAACACGAGGCCGTTAAACAACAAAGTGTCGCTCGAAATAAATACACGCAACTGATCGCTCGTAAGACATTTAAACAGAAATAAATATGTGACATTTTATCGAATAAGTCTGGAATAATAATTTTCCTAAAAAAAAAAAAAAAATAAGATGGATAATTGGAAGCGAAAAGAACGATTTTTGGATTTTGAAAGCGGACAAAATTGCGTTCACATTCATCCTAATATCGTTCTGTTACAGTTTTCAAACTGGTCCGCGGTGTTTGCAGATCAGTGAAAATAAATCGGATATTTAAGGTGAAGCGGCTTAAACGTTGCACGCATGCATACGGGATCCGCGCGGTACGGCTTCGATGACCCGCTTCTTTCATACTTTCCTCCGATACTTTCTTCCTTGGGACCATCCTTAAAAATATACCGATTCGAACCAGCTGATATCCCTTTGTATAAATCGGATTTAATAAACTTTCACTTTCACCGAACCCCGTCCGTTTCTTTCATCCAAGATTAAATCTAGCCCTGAGAAATTGAGGAGAGGAAGAGATGAAAGAAAGTTGGAATGAAATTTCAATTATATATATATATATATATATATTTTCTCCGGATAGGATGATGGAAAAATTAATACAACTATACATATATGTATGCTTTCCCCGACACACGAATATTTTCCACTCTCTACAACATCCGGAATGTTTTCCAATCTAATACACACGACTCGAATCGTTTCGAATGGATTCTTTTTGCTTTACGAATCTGAAGGATGGAGAAAAATATGCGTCCTTCTATCTTGCTATTTATTCCTCGCGTGGCTCGATGAATCGACTCGATCAATTAAAATAAACGACAAATAGTATCCTCGATAGATTCATGAATAATTACAACATCGATATCTCTTATACACGATCGATTTGACGATCAATTTTTCCATGTTTTCCAAACAACACGGCTGACCTATCGACAACGTCCGCCTCGTGGCGCTTCGATCACACCCGCGATCCGTGTTCGAGTTCAATTAAATTCGAGTTAGTTATCTTCTCCTACAAGGGAAATAAATTATCGGGTGAAAGCCGATCGAATTCCTCTCCCTGCACCAACACGGGGTATCCGAGTGTAATCATCGTCCCAAGTAAAACAGAAGCATAGAATTGGAAGAGAGCGTTGGTATTTGCGATAATCTGCGCGGCAAGGTGTCGAATTTAAACAACGAGAGTTGATAAAAGAAATATCGGATTAATCTTTCTCACGAAAAGTTGGATTTCCAACGATGCATTATTATTCACACGCACATCGTTAAGATGTAATAAAAATAGAAGCATCAAGCATCCCTCTATCGATCTCTTTCGATCGATAATACAACGAACAATTCGTTTCGCTTTTTTTTTTTTTTCGATTTTTACGATCGCAAAAGATGCAATAATCTACGAAAACGGCGCTGATCCCGCGACGGAAAGAGATCGAAATAAAAGCGATTTCTAGGTGGAAAATCTCGCGCCTAGTTTTTCGCGGAGGAGGTTTTCTCGAAGAGAGAAAAAAAAAAAAAAAAACCAAACTTTCACTCTGTCACGGATGGGTGACAAAAAACCAGCGTGCGGCGGAGTGAAATCTGAAATTCCTCTCCTCCGCGAGAGGAGAAAAACGGGTCCTGAAAGGTGAAAACGAAAGAAAATCCTGCTGCAACTTTTTCCTTCTTTTCGTTGCACCTCGTATGAATACGTTTGAACACGTTTCATTATCTGTTCACAGAAGCGAGGAAACTTTGTTTCTTTTTTCCCTCTCTCAATTATAACTCGTCAATCTTTATCAAGAGGAGAAGAAATATAATACAATCAAAGAGAAACTGTAATACTTTTTTCTTCTCTCCGATAGAAACGTATCTTCCTTTACGGGTGGCGAGGCAAACTATTAATCAACAATTATAACGCGATAAATCTTCCAATAACTCTCTCAAAAATATATTCTTCGACAATCTTATTTACTGCCACTCAAACGAAAAAAAGAAGAAGAAGAAGAAGAAGAAGAAAACTAGGCGAGAAGAAAATATAATTCACACTCCTCGTTTCCATCGTAAAATAAAAAAAAGAAGAGAGAGAGAGAGAGAGAAATGGGATCTCGATTGGACGAGAACAACAAGCAGTAATAACCACGACCCGTGTATCCTGCCACGGATATCATCGACAACGCTTGCTCGTTGACAAATGCTCGAGAAGATAGGACTCGTGTATACTCGTGTCGGTGGGAGAAGATGGTGGAGACGGAGAGCGTGCAATGCGATTTCACACTGACCTACAGGAAACGGCGGAATGTGTGGAATAATTGTGGTGGCGTGTTATCACGCTCGAACGATCGCGCTCAGTAGAGCAGAAATCGTCGGTAGGCGAGTGTGCTCCGCCGCGCTCTTCTCTTCTCCCGAGGCGCCCCCTCCCCCCCCCCCATTTCGTTCCTCGAGGGGACAAAGTGGAACAAAGTCGAAATTCGAATAATCGATGACAATAGGCGAGTGTAATTTTACGCTCGTTAGAAGGAATTAGCCGTAGGGGGAAAAAATGCCGAGGGGAAGTAATTAATCTTGGCGAGGATCCGAGCAAACATCCAAGTGGTCGTAGGCGTTTATTCTTAGTATTTGGTTAGATAATGAAATTCATTCCGTTTAATTTCTCCTCGTGAAATTTCAATTGGACCAAACTGGAACGTAAAATTGGAAATTGGATTAAGAATCGAAGGATATTTAAAATTGGATTTTTTCTTTTTTTCTTTTTTTTTTTTTTTTCCACGCGAGTTTTATCGAAGGATATACGTTTTCGAAAGAATCGAAAAAGAAGAGTGGAGCGAACCGGATCGAGACCGGTGATAAACCGCCCGCTAACTGGGATCCAGCTAACTGAAACGTAAATCAGTGGGACGAGTAAGAAAAATCCGCGTACAACTGTAATTCCCTATTAACAGTATCCACAGTTGATAATCGCCCAATAAAACCGTGAAAAACGATCGAGGTGGAAGCATTATGGGCAACATAGAACATGATTTCTCGATCGATCGTCTTAAGACCGATTATCGCGCGAACGGATAAATTAACTCGATTTATATAAGACACTTTTCATCGGAACAGAACCGCGAAATATATTATTATTTACTTTCTCCTAGTAGTTCTTCTCGACGATTTATCACCGTTAAGGGAAATGGTCGCGATGATTAATTAACGGGGACCGATTTCGAAACACGTCCCAATCGAGGGATTGGGAAAATAATTTATTCCCAATTTATAAAGTTATACACCTTTTCTTTGCATTCGTACGTTTTATTATTTTACATTATGTATTATTTCTCTCGTTTCCATCTATCGCGAATGTTCCAAATATTCGAGTTTATTGGCTCGACTCTTGGAAAACTGATTCTTCGATCGATAAATAATAAGTTTGTGCGTGAGAAGGAGTATCAGTCGGTAATCGTTCTTTTCGTAACGATGGAGGACGATAAATACGTTGGTGATCCAACACATTTCCACTCGGGATTGAAAAATTTCAACGGAAAAGTTAAAACAAGGTGATCAAATCGATGGAACGAGGGAGTATCATCCGTGGTACACGCCCACACGCGTGTTATGAAAGTGGCGGCCGCGAAACGGGTCAACGTTAACGCGAGAATGAATGCAAGCTCGTTAATCAACTATCTTCTAAAGTTTCTATCCGATTGGGATCTTGGACGATTGTGTGCCTGGCCTTTCTTCTCCTTTTAATTCCTTGCCTCTCGTTCCTATTTTCGCGTTCCAACAAAATGAAGAACACATGTATCTTTACCTTTCCAACTTTTTCTTCGATTAACAACTCGTCGGATAAATGGAAATTTGTATCTAAATATAAAATTGAACATTGCAGTTTGCACGATTAATCTTTACTATTCTTTTTTGTTTTCGATTCTAAGTCGGGGAGAGAGTCGGAAAAATATTTAATTTCCATTTTCTTGCTCCGATGACACGTTATCTCTCGGATGATTCTGTTAGATCGGTTGTCCGAAAAGCTGGTTGGAACAAGTTTGTCTTCTTGTTTAGTCGATATCGATCGACATTCCACCGTGTGAAATTTAGCAATCGAGCAGCTATAACAGCTAATAATAGCTTGGCATTGGACGACGACGACTGTCAACTTTTTTACACCGCTTCCTTCGAAGGGATAAGTTTCGAGTTCTCGATTTGGATATAAAGAATGCGAGAATTTTGGAAGATTGTTTGTCGCCAGTCGACGAAAATTCAAGGCCGAAAACTTGTTCCGCAGAGGTAGAAATTATGTCAGAAACGCGCCTGCGGTAAAATTAAACGTGAATTCATCCATCCTCTAGGCAGGTAGATATAGCGAATTGCGGCGTAGTTGTAGAAAATAAAGCGATCAATGTCTCGTAGGTATAACGCCAATTCTATGCTTGTGTTCCAATTTCTAATTCCAATTTCGTTGTATCAAATTGTATCGAACGATTTAAATGTTATTCAATTGGATTCGATTCGATCGAATAACAAATTAATAAATCAAGTTTCCAAATAAACGAAATAAAAGATCGTAAAAGATATAAATAACGAAGGTGTATGTTAATGGCAAATTTGTGCGCTCTGAACATAGATCGACTCGCAAAACTCGCGATTCGTACACGATTCTCGTTTCTTTGCGTTTCATTTTACGATTTACGTCGTAATATATATCATAACGAAAGTTTCTCCGAATAAAAAAATTTCATAAGAAGCGAAGGCAAAAGTACACGCGGTATAATAATAAAGTTAACGTGTATATTCGATTTAGTCGGTTTTTCTTTTAGGCGACGAAAGAAACACGAGGAATGAAATTGACAGGTAACGGAACGCTGAACGAGGAAGAATACCAGGTTATCTTCCGGGATGATGTCAAGAATTCTGATCGAACATTGTGAAGGAGAAGTGGTCGTTTAAGTTTAACGAAACCAAACCAGAACCAATGTGAAAACAAGTGGTAAAAATTTTCGGCTAACGGTATTGCTCGATGAACGTGTTCAAAAAGAAAGAGAAGAAAAAAGAAGAAGAAGTCTTTGAAAACTTAATTATTCGATACTTCCTTATCGTTGAGTTAACTATTATTATCGTCTTACTAATTATTCGTTATCATAAAGTGATAAAAAAAAAAAAGGAATATTACATATTACACGAGGAAGCGTACGTACAAGCATCATCCGGCTGATCTTTCGCGATAACTTGCTGATACGCGTAACAGATATCCGCTGCATCTTTCCTAACACCGTTCCCCTCCTTTTCGAACATTATTAAGAATCAAGATTTATATTTTTTTCTTTCTTTCACGCGAATTCGTTTAACCGTTTTCTAGTTTACCGTGCTAATTACACTTTAACTTCTCGAATAATCCACCGTATCCATCCGATTTCACTTAAACCTCCAACAATTCTCTCTCCTCATTTTTTCCTGTCCTTTTTCCAAAGGAGAAACTATCACTTATTTTATCCTACACGATATTAGACTTTGAAATCATTAACTGTTTCAAATCTTCCTTAGAAGAG